GCCAAGGCTTTGCTCTTGGGAGCCTTGGTAAGTGGCTTGCAGTGAGTCTCCAAATAAGCAGAGACCTGGAGAGAACAGTGGCAAGCCTGAAATCTTCAGGAAGGTGTGTGGCAGGCCTTGATTCTCACAACTGCTAGCAGGGAGATATCTATGTAATCCCTAAATCTAAACCGAGGAACTGAAACCTTCAGGAAGGTGTGTGGCAGGCCTTGATTCTCACAACTGCTAGCAGGGAGATATCTATGTAATCCCTAAATCTAAACCGAGGAACTGCCACTAGAGACAGCTAGCATGCAGAGAAGTTGGTCCTAAGCACAGAGAGATTTCTGTATGGTAGTGTTATTGTGTAAGAGTAAGGCCCAGGGATGGTGGTACAACAGTAAAACATAACATTCTGCAAGGATGATCCCACAAGAAGGTTCCCCGTTGGCATCCAGAGACTTTCCTAAGTATGCCTGCCATATGCATGCCCATGAAGCAGGTTCATGAGGCTGATGGGGGGTGAACCATGGAATAAAGAACATATTGGGGGTGCTGCATCTTTGTCTCGCTTCCTCATGGAATAAATCAATAAATAAACTTGAAATAAAGAAATCAGGTGCAGAGTATCAATGAAGTATGTTTTTATTTATAATGATAGAACAGAAACTTCATTTGAAAGGAAGGAGGCAACAGAAAATAGTGCAGATATGCAAGGGGAATGTACACCCAAACATTCAGACAGGAAAGGGGCAAGAGCTACCTTAAACACAGATAAAGGGTTTATTTTGAGTTATTCTGTGAAAAGGAGTTCAGTGTTGGGAATCAGTGATGTCCATAGAGGACCCGCATCCTTGCCAGGGCAATCTCTGTAGTTCATAGAGCCCCTGCTCTGAGCACACTGGATACGTGTGGGATACTGCAGAAAATGTGGATGCCACAGGCCTCTCTTTGTTGAGGATTTCCCTGGCTAAACAAAAGGTAAAATGCCCAGCAAAAGACCAGGAAGGATGAGGCAACTCTAGTACCCAGGCCTTCTGATACAGTGAGATGAAGGTAGGCTGGCCAGGTTGCTTGGACATGGGTTCAAAAGAGCTAAAACATGGGAACCAGCAGTTAGCGTAATAGCTATGTCGCTGGACTCCCACGTAGTCAACCGCGGTTCGTGTCCCGGACCCGGTGGCTTAAAACTCACGCCGGGCGCGTGTGCGTGAGTGCCCAAGATCCTGAGAGGAGAATGGAGGAGAAGGGATTGTGGCATGGCCATCCCCCCTGAGGGGTGATTTCTCGCTTTCTGTCTCTATATCTCTCTCTGTCTGCCTGGTGAGCGCATGCGCCCTATAGCAAAAACCTCTCCAAAAAAAAAAAAAATCCAGAAAAGAGATAAGAAATATGGGCCGGTCAACTCAGGTTTCTCCATAAAATCCTTTACATAACTGGCAGGAATAAACTGACTCTACTCCCTTTGGAGTAAAGAAAATAGTCTAGAGAACATGGAGATAACAAGGAAGCAAGCAAACTTCCATAAATCTCACTTAGCTAAAGTGACCAAATGTCTCTGCTTGTCTTGGAGAGTCCCAGTGTATGTCTGCTACTTCAATGTGATTATTGGGAACAAGCCCTTCCTTCCCAAAGTGTGCTGGTCTGGACGACAAATTGTAAGTCACTTCTGAAGCCCTCTAACAAAGGACTGATCATCAACAGTAGACTGAAACACGGACCTTTCCTGCAGGAAATGTATTTCAGGGTACTCGAATAGCACTAGTTGGAGAGAAAACCTGCTTTGACCGATTGATGAAAGTAGAAAATCATTCTTTTACAAATCCTAATGGCTTATTATATCAGTCAAGAATGATCAGTTGGAATTAAAAGCATTAGGTAAAGTGTTAATGGAGAGCTGGAGGATTGTTCAATGACAAAATAAGTGCACATGGGAAAAAAAAAATTCTGAGTTTATAATAGAGGACTCTACTATCCTACTGCTATCGTAAATCTTCATTTCAGCCACCGTAGGGAAACCAGCCTACGCCATCACTTACGATGGATTCTAGTCACAATGTGTAATGTGTAACACGAATCTCATCAAGTCTTGAAATGTAACTTTCAGTTGATAGTAAATCCATGAGATACGGGAACAAGCTAAATCACACTGAGAAGCAATCAGGCGAATCTAGGCCAATCTCTTGAAGACGCCAGTGAAATATAAAATGGGACTCGACTAGATTAAAGGAGCCTTCGGGGACCTAACAACCAGATGCGATGTGTAGACCTAAATTCAACCATCTCTGTTTAGGGAGAACTTGGCAAGTGTGAATATGGACTGAGTATAGAATGGTTAAAAAAAAAAAAGAAAAAAGACTGATTATTAATCTTAGGAATATTACTGCATTATTACTAGTAGCAAAAATTTCTACTTCTTTAAAGAGATGTGTACTCCAATGTTACTATCTGTAAGGACATATTGCTATCAATCATCTTATTAGATTGGTGCAAAAATGTGGTTAAGTGTGGCAGGGTTCTGTGAGGCTGGGCCACGGGGGAAGATGGCCGTTTTGCATCCAGATATTCCGAGTGCACTGGGCTTGTGTGTGAACGTGACCTGGGCTGTTGAGACCACAGGTGGATCTCAGCATCATGACCTTTGGGGGTTCTGTCTCTTTCTCTGTCTCTGTCACTTACAGAATAAATAAACAATAAAATACAAGATTAAAAAAGTGAGGTATATGTGCACACGCATATACGCACAAATACCTACCATTTAAACTAATTTCATCCCCACCCCACTAGGAAGAACAGAACTATTTACAGAATGATCATTTGAAGGGGTTTGGGGCCGCTTGTGCCAGGGGCACCTCCATGTGCACCTGGCCCTATCACTGGGGACATACTCAGATAGCATGCATGTTTCAATGGCGGACTCAGCCTGACCTGACATAATTCGAAGTAGGCAGCTTTCCCAGGATCACAGCACTGACAGCAGCGTGGAGAAACTCTCTGGGGTTTCTCTTACCATAAAGTGGCACCCAGTTCTCATGTAATGGGTACATGTCTAGAAATCCACGAATCTCAACTGAGGAGATGTCATCAGAGAGGTGACACATCCACAGTAGCCAGTATAAGGTCCTTGGTGCACAGAGGAATCTGTCAGGGGGTCCACTCCAGGAGCAGGAGGCAAGCCCTAGGGGTAGCCCCATCCCAGGAATCCCATAATTGTTAGATATTGGTGCCTTGATTGTCCCACGGCAAGACCTCTGTAGGGAGAACAGTTATGGTTGACATATCAAAAACAGGACAGGTAGGGAGGGGAAAAGGGAAGACTTAATAAAAACAATGGGAGATGGAAGAGTCATTAGTGAAGGTAACTCTACCACAGGGGACTGTCAGCAAGCCAAGGCATCCCAGTGGCCAGGTGAGAAGTGGAGCAGGGGAAGAAGAGAGCCAGGGAGAGCTGACGATGAGGGTGGAGGGGTGAATAAGCAGAGAGGAGAAGGCGTCATGAGCAGGAAAGAGGAATGATGGGTAAAACACAACAGCAACACGGGAAGAGAGATGAAATTTGAAATGGCAGAGGAAACAGAAGGACAGAGGGGGCAGGAAGTTACAGAGAGACAGCTGGTCAAAGGTTGAGGGGGAAGAACTTGGAACAGACCGGAGCTGAGTGCATTTTTTATCTCTGTACTCGCAGATACTTACCCCGGAGTGGGAACTCAGGGGGAAGAAGGAGGAAGGACGGGTGGGAAGAGTGAAGGCAGGCAGGCAGAAAGGCAGAAGAGAAAGACTAGGAGCAGTGTGAAGGTGTAGAAGAAGGAAGATCGGGATAAGGAATGAGTAAGAACACAGTTTAGAGACACACAAGGGGCTAATGTTACTTAAAACCTGATGGACATCATGTTTGTGAGAGTGTTAAGTCATACCCCAGAATCATGTCATTCAAATTCAGCATAAGAATGCCGAAAATATTTCATCAGGCCACATTTCTGTGGCTGATCTGAATCACAGCTTATCTTATAGAAATGCCTGAAACTAGAATGACAGCATGATAACTATATGGCAAAGGAGAACAGCAAGCTCTTGGACCTCTGACATACTATTGAGTGATACCAACCAGTTTGCTGGGGCCCGTATTTGTCCCCAAGACCCTGCTCTGTCTAGTGGGTCATTTTATCTTATGAACTGGCCTCAGACTGCTGAATATGCTTCGCCCATCCTTCCGTCTGCCCAATACCAAAACAAGAGGCAACTGCTGGATTCACATCATTAATGTAGACAGAAATCTGGCTAAGGACTACAAAAAGACCCTATTTTTCAGGCACCTGATTGCTGGCTATGTTGATTGCATTAATCCAATGATTGCCAAATCTTTCTGTTAGGGAAGATGGAATCTAGAACATTAACAGATCTCTCTATGACACAAATGATTTTCCTTCCCAGGAAAACATGAGTTTGATTGACAGTTCACAAAATAACTCGGGAATGCATGCACATGTAAACTCACATAATTTTCAGGCAAATGAAAACCTATCCACCAGCCTGACAGTGGCTCTCAGAAAGCAGTGAAGGTTCTGAGTTTGAAAACTGACAACTAGAAGTTTGATGCTCTAGGAAGCCATCATCAAACAGTTTTGTGGGCAGTCTCTAATGTGTGTAAGTGACTTCTAGCACAGGAATAAGATCAGAATTTGTATGAGAAATTATTATCACAAAATCTCAAGTCAAAATGGCTTACGTGTGTAAGAAACACTGCTTTGTAATTTAGGGGAAGAGACAGGTTGGTGAAATCAGATTCCCAGAGTCTTCAGTTTGTTTATCAAACAGAAAACAGTAAAAGAAAGACTCTCCCTGACTCATGATACCAGTCCCTTATCATATAGTTTTGATTTTCAGCTCAGCACCAGTTGATTTCTGTACTTTGTAACACTGAAGTTTGAATGAGCGATTGTATACACAGCATAGGACGTGGAACTTCTGATAATCATGGAGTAAAGAGCAACATCCAAAGAGCCTCCTGGATGGATACTCACTATTTGGTAGAGTCGGATAACTGATATTCTCGTCGTCTATCGTAGCACTCCTGGATTCCAGGATCATTCCATAAACTCTTTATTGCATCTACATATGGATTCTCAAAAGCAGACACCTTCTCCACATCCACTTCTCGAACTAACTGTGCATGAGCCTGTTTCAAAAACAAACATGGCGGTGGTTTTAATACACTGGTTTTGAACTGCTTTATAACAAAGTAATGCTTCATATTGTTGTTTTTCTCAGCCCCAAGTTCTTCCTGTGTAGTAAACCTCGAGGCTACTAAAAGCTGATCAGAGGAAAGTGGACTGTGCAGCCCTCCCCTCAGAATGACAGATGCCATGCTGCCGAGACCACTGTTCTTAGGTGATACTCGTAACTCTAAAACAATAAATAATGTTAAAGGGGAAATTTTTTATAGTTTATTATAATCCAACACATAATATACCCAGCCTATGAGTGTGCTATGCCTTAGCAGATGCTCAATCAGAATCCTTAACTAATCAGGTTAAGGTCTATAGTTTACTTTTAGCATAGGGTATAAAACCATTAGAAGAACACCTAATATTAATGACTTAATTTGAACAATGACAGTTCCTCCACTCCCACACAGCCCAGCTTCCAAAATATTTATATCTGCCTTATTTACATTTTCAGATTGTGGACCTTACTGATTTTTTAATTTAAAGAACTAATTTTTATTTAACGTTATTACTTATATATTTATTTAAATTTGATCAGAGAGGGACAGAGTAAAAGAGAGAGAGAGAAAACAGCTGCCAGATCTAGGACTTGAACCGAGGTCGACCACGTGGGAGTGCAGCACCTTTAACTACTATGCCACCTGCTGTTCCCCCATTCACTTTTTTTTTTTGGAGAGGTTTTCACTATAGGGCACGTGCACTCACCGGACAGACAGAGAGAGACAGAGAGACAGAAAGCAAGAAATCACCCCCCAGGGGGGATGACCATGCCACAATACCTTCTCCTCCATTCTCCTCTCGGGATCTTGGGCATGCATGCACACGCACCCGGCATGAGTTTAAGCCATCGGGTCCAGGACGCGAACCACGGTTGACTACATGGGAGTCCAGCGACATAGCCATTACGCTAACTGCTGGTCCCCCCAGCCCCATTCACTTTTTTAACAATAGAAAAAGATGGTCTTTTCATCATACTACATTTAACAGGAACGAGATTAAGATATTTGAAACTATTATTTTTGTTGAGAGGTTTTGCTGTAGGGTGCATGTGCTTGCCAGAAAGACAGAGAGAGAGAGATAGAAAGCGAGAAATCACCCCCCAGGGGGGATGGTCACACCGCAATCCCTTCTCCTCCATTCTCCTCTCGGGATCTTGGGCACACACGCACACGTGCCCGGCGTGAGTGTAAGCTACAGTGTCCAGGGCTTGAACCGCAGTCGACTATATGGGAGTACAGCAACATAGCCATTATGCCAACTGCTGGTTCCAAGATTTAAAACTATTTTTTAATAGAATAGAAATACAAACGTTTTATGGTCAACCCTCAAATTACCCAAAATGCACCAATGCCTAACAATCCCAATCAAACTAGGTTTCCCAGAATGCAGTGCATATGCAAATTATACATATACACATATGCAAATAAACATAAATACAATACTACCTTGAAAATTGGAGACAGATGGCTGATAAATATTTAAACAGTCCTGATTTTGTACAGAAATACAAACTGTTAAATAAGGTTAGTGAATAGCTATCATGATTACATCATGGTCAAATTATTCACTTCAGAGTATTAAGCAGATAGAATGTTAATAATTTAAACCATGCTAGGTCCTGTCTAGTTCCTAATCTTTACTTTCATTTTTTTCCTCTAAGTAGAAAAACCTCATGTCAATAGACTAATCTTTTTTTTTAAATCAATAGACTAATCTTGACTTAAGGTTTTAAGAAGGTCAATACACTGAGATTGAAGAAATCACCTTTCTTGTTAGTTCTGCTCTGCCATCACAATCGGATCTAGCAACTGAGAAACCCTAGCTCCATTCGGTACTCTGATCTTGAAAAGGGGGTCCCTGTAGTTACTTTCTGTAATCAATCCCTGTCCAGATGATTTGTCTTGTTTTTCCAGCAGCAATCTTACTAGCCTGGAATCTTGTTCCTGAATCCCACTTCAGAGCGGGCCTACTTTAATCATAGCTCCCTCTTGAGACTCACCTTTTGAGAATAAACCCCACTGGCTCCTCAATGAATCTCTAAGGCTGGGCTCTGCTCAGCACATGTTAAACTTCCTGGATCCCAAGGACTATTTTGGACTCGTCCGCTCTGCCTGCAGAACCAGACTCCTCCAAGCTTATGCGGCTCCCTCCATTCTGCAAACCTCAGCAGGTATGCCTAACGTCAAGTTGCAACCCTTCCCTTTTGCCTTTGCTCACTAAATACAAACAAATTCTAACTCTTTGTGTCCTGAGATATGAGAATGATCACCCTTGATACAATCCCGAATTAGATTCCTCATGGCTCTCTCTCCCTTACAGGGTTCTCTAGAGGGCTGAATCTTACAGAGTCTGGGGTGAGTAAGAAGCAGGAATATACGCAGACTGCTGGATTCAGTCTAAAGTCATGGTTTTGAACCTGACTCTGCTTCTTCTTGTGACCCTAGGTAAACTGCTGCATCTTCCTAAGTGTTATTTCTGGAGGGAAGCATACTGTTCCACTCCCCCCACCCATCACCGCCACCATCACCAGCCGCAGCCCCATGTGACTTTGTGCAAATCAGTCATAGCACTGTTTGTCAGGGGTGCTTAGGAGGTGGTCTGCAAATCAGCAGCATCAGTGACATCTGGGCATTTCTTTTTTCTTTCTTTCTTTTTCTTTATTTTTAAGAGGTTTTTACCTTAGGGCTCGTGAGCTCCCATGAGAGAGAAACAGAGATAATGAGAGAGAAAGTGAGAAATCACACCCCCCTCCCCAGAATGGATGTCCATGCCACAATCCCTCTCCATTCTCCTCCCAGGATCTTAGCCATTCACCCGGCATGATTTTCAAGCAACCAAGTCCAGGATTTGAACTGCAGTCAGCATGTGGGAGTCCAACAACGTAACTGCTATACCATTTGCTGGCATTGGTTAAGAGATGTAAACCCACTAATGTCACCACAGATCTGTCAAGTCACGAACTCTGTGAGAGAAGGCTTAGCAATCCTTACTTTCAGAGGCCCTGTGGGGCTGGCCCCATGGCCTTGTGGTCAAGGGAGCTGGATCCTACATGGCTGATCAAGCAGTATGAATCCTGGAAAATGTGTTGGGCATGGGTAGATGTGTGCCCCAAGTCCCAACAGGTCAGACAAGAGAAGGGATTGTGACACGACCATGCCCCACGAGGAATCCCCCCCCTTCTCTTTCTCTCTCTCTCTCCCCCTGGCAAGCACGTTTGACCTCTGGCAAAACTTTTTTAAAAATAAAAAAGGAAGTCCTTTGAATGATTCTGATGCATGCATAAGTTGGAGAACCACACAGAGTATAAAGCACCACACAGACACAAGTGTCTGTGATGATAATTAACAGTCTGGTTGGCCACAGAATTACTATTAGAGACTGGTCCACAGCGGCAACTGTCATTCCTAAGCAGGGACCATTAGCAGACTTCCTGAGGGCCAGAAAGCCACAGAAGTGAGTCAAAATGGCTAGATGTAGGCAACAGGGAGAGATGGGGACCACGGCACGCTGAGGAATACGTGCCCTGATGAAAGCTCCAAACGACTGTTGCATAGGTAATGTCAGCCCCTCCAACTTTTTTTTAAAGGAAGCCAAAAATCTAGATATTTTCTTCTTTAAAATATCCCTCATTTCAAATCTTGGCAATTGTCTAAAAGATAAATATGGCTTAACTGTCCCAGAGCTGGACAGGACAGCACTCATTTGCAACATCTGCTGTCTAAGTCTTTTCTAGTTGCCCCACTAGTTTGAACAATAATACTGTTTCTACACAGAACCTGGAACACGGTGTGGGGGTACTGGCGAACACATGCTAACGTAAGGCAGGGACCCTTTTCCAGTACTTCGCTACAGTAACATTTAGACAAGCTATTCTACTATGCATAGGAGAAGCAGTGGACCTCCTCCTTAGATCAAAGCTACACGGTGACATAGGCTAGCATAGGTATTCTCACCAGAGAATGAATGTGATACTCGCTATATAGGCTGGCTATGCCATTTGGAAGGAGTTCTGCTTCTGCTTCTGGAGCAATTACTTGTCTTTGCCCAGAAAAAGCAGTTTTAACGTACCAGCCACTTTTCACTATTGTGATTAAATGTTTACTGGACCCCAATGAGATGGCAGGCAATACCGTGCAGCAGTTAGGGAATGAGTCCCGCCCGGGGCGTGTGTGTGGGCATGTGTGAGTGTGCGCGTGTGTTCATGCATGTGTGTGCATCACAGTTCCTATACATGGCAACCAAACAAAGCACAGGATTATGAGTTCCAGTAGTAGGAAAAAGAGAATATTTATTTCCCATCTTTCATTCCAGTTGACTCTAAGGGCATTTAAATAAAGACAATATTCTCAATGGTATGTAGGTTGTAACTTTCCACAAAGAGCCTGCTTCTGTGAAATGAAACTACTTTCTACTGTCTGCAACCCCCTGTGATTTCCAACTTTGCTCTCTCTCCCCTGGTTTTTTCTTATATCTAGAGGCTTTACCTCTTCCTTTTTGTACTTTAAAGAGTTTTTGTTCAAGGACTGTATCATAATTTGCCATCTCTTAAAGAAAGTTATTCTTGAGTTTTATTTCCTCAAAAAAGAAAAAAGGCATCTTTCTGTCTTCTAAGTCATGGAACGTCTACATTTTGCTTTGTTAATAAATACATCTTTTTTTAAAAACGATTTAATTTTACTATTACTGTTATTATTTTAATTTGCTATAGGGTACATGCACTCACCAGAGACAGAGAGAGAAAAGGAAAGTAAGAAAGCAAGCTGCGAGACCCAGGACTCAAACTGCAATTGGCCATATAGGAGTCCAGTGCCTCAGCCACCCTGTCACCCGCTGGCCCCAATAAATATGTCTTTACTTACCCCTCTTATAGACTATAGACTATATGCTGATGAAAAGGGCTGTGGTTTAGCTTACTAACTCTAATTTCTTTTGGTGCCCAGCACAGAGGAAG